AGCGATTCTGAATGAATAATTCTTCGGTATCGCGCATGGCCCCGAATGCACCACTGGCGTCATTGAGCTTGGGTTGGAGGGACCACCACGACGTACCCATGCAGATGCAGCCTGAATCAGAAAACCCTGTTGTCGAATCATGGGTGTCCTCATAGTAGTGGCGTGGGGAAAGATATGATGACAGCCAATGACAGGGCTTCCAAAGCGCAACTATGCGGCTATCGATCTTGCGTTTGATAGGTTGGTGATCGTGCATAATGATGCTTGTTTGGCCCCGATACTTCAGTTATCATCCGTACGGTACAGGACAAGGATTTGTGCATTGGCCATTTGGAGAGAAGTTTGGTGCTTCATCCATGGGAGTGCAACTCTTTTTTTTGTCCCCTATGCGGAATTGACAACTATGAATATCTATCGGCGAATCCAGATGCTGATCGTCTCGCTTGTTCGATCCCTCTTCCGGTTTCCGGTTTCTGGGTATAACAGAGCCATCATCCAGGTTTTCCGCTTCCGAGCCGGCATCCGCTGGTTTATCGTCGTGGCCATTGGGAGGTAGTTGGATTGAAGTGTTACGGATGTGGGAATTGTAGAAATGCATAATTATACTTACAAGTTCAAGTTCTGCGCAATGCTCTGTATCTCTCTAGCTGAAATGCTCTTGAGAGTGTATGTAGGAAGGAAGTTTAGTCTCTCGAGTAAAAGTTGGGTATTTCGCTAATTGTTCTGGCAAGAGAAAGAAAAGAAAGAGGAAGAGAGCGGGCGAAGGGGAGGTGTGGCAACAAGTCTGGCTTTTATGGATGTGTGTAGTAGGTAGAGCAAGAGAGGAGCCAAGCCAGGTTTAGAGATCGGATCAAGGCTTCTACACAAATTCCCAAGTCAGTAGGGGAGAAGAAAAAAAATTATTTATTCATAAGGAAGAGTAACAATTTGGTGTAGAACCTGGGACGTGGAGACAGGATCGGCCTCCTCCACTAACCTAGGTTGTTAGCCCCAGTCGTCAGTAATAAGAGACTACTTCTAAGTGGGGGAGGGGCAGGAGATGGCCGAAGGACGGACGACGAGTCCTTTCAGAACCCGGCATACTGTTTGCGTCTATTGGTCCATTGGTTTAGACCGAGCGGCTAGGCATTTCGGTGACGTTACCGGAGTTCATTTTTCTTTGCCTTCCTACATAAAAAGTCTCCTTTAGCCCATGAAGATTAACAAAAGCACTATGCTGATTGGTCTTTTGCAACAAGGTCTATGGTAGTTTGGTAATTACTAGTTGAATCCCCATAGATTTTTTGTTGTTTTATTATTAGTCTTGCCGCTATAATGCTGCTACGATGTTGCTAAAATACTACCTCTGCATATTTACTGCGTACATACATACCTACATACACATGCCACATACATAACACAGCGGCCGGCCGCAACCTAAACTTTGCCTCCAGAATCGTACGGACATACTACGTATGTAGTACTTACACATACATTCTATCCCACCTAACAATACGCGAGGGGGGAAGCGGAAAGGGAAGGGTGATATTCGCGCAAACTCGGGGTTTGGTATATATCTGCACTTACATGACATTTACTTGATGAGAATTCACCCAATAGGCTTGATTGCTGTTTGTGTGTGATCAAAATAGGCATCGTGAGAGGTAAGTTAAAGTGAATGACCACGTACTCAGGCGAAATAGTGTAAGACGCAGTGGATAAAAGCAAGGGGTGTGTCATCTGTATAGAAAAATTCGATAGACTTTGTGACTTTGGGGGTTTGCTGGTAGGCAATGCACAGGTTACCATAACTATGAGAAATGCAACATGCCATCAAGTTAAGATGGAAGTTTTTTGCCTTCCTGGGTTGACTCATTGCCCCTCTTCTCTCTATTATTCTAGCGTTTGTCTAAGTATCTGTTTGTCTATTTCAGTGCTGATCTTGTTACCACGCGAGCAAGAGGATTAGTGTAGCACCGTTTGCGGTCTTCTAAAAGTCAAACCAACTACTGACACGCGAAGATCTACATGTATATGAGGCATGCTGCGATGACGCAGTTTTGTACAGTCTGTAACCCAGGGCCCTGGTTCATTGGCGGTCGGCTCTCCGAGGATCGCGTCTGACAGACATGAGTCTATTCGCTTACGAGGCAACTTGGTGGCTTCTGATTGAAGCTTCGCTAAATAAGAAGAATAATAATTTGGTGAGTGTTTGCCGTTCATCGGAGGTCTGCTGTCTCAAAAAAGCTACGTAGCCGCAAATGGGGATTTGGGTAACAGAAAAACGTCTCCCTGCCATACTATTACTATGTACAACGCCAATAAACCAATATGGACAAAGCTAGAGTCCAATTCCAGAACGCACCCTGCGCACCCCACACAGACATGCATATCCCGATGACAGGGGTCTAGCCCAGGACAAGTCTCACTTCCGTGTTGGCGGATTGGCGGATGTGAAGCAGAGGTCGCCCGAAATGTCAATTGAGCAGCTTGTAGCTTGAGAAAGTCCGTCCATACAAGTGAATGTCCAATCAACGCAGCTAGCCTCGCTCCAGAATCGTAAGAGAGACCCATGGTCCGATGTCGCGTTCACCCGCTGCTGCGGAACACTAGATATTAGGCGATATACTACCTACGTACTGTACAGTATGTATGGTATATATGTATGTACGCCTGTACGCCTATACGCCTGTACGTCTGTATCGTACCTAGTATGCGGCTTCTGCGCTATGCAGCCATATGCTGGGGCTAGGTAGGATCTGAGAAGGACGAATCCGTTTACGAGAGCCTCCATTTGGGGTGTGATGCGTGGCAGCGTGGCAGCGTGGGGTATATTTTTTTCCAGAATAGACAAATACGTTTTGAGAACCAAATTTAGGAGCTACGGGGGAATCAACTGAGATGCCTTATTTCTCGGATGTCTCACGTACGTATGTTCGTCGTTCAAAGGGGCAATGTCATTATATCCCTCAACAACTATTAGTATGTCTTGCCGAGCTGACGCAACTACCTGTTTAGTAATTTGCCCACGAGGCCGTCGATCGAATACCTGATGAGAAGCATAGTCAATGCCATAAATAACGAGTAGTTCAAGACGTGTCTTTGAACGTGAGTAACCTACAAGTTAGACTTACCTTAAGAGTATGAAGTATGGAGTATGGAGCTTCTGAAGGTTGATTATTAATTAGCCTTATTGTTTGTTTCTGTTGCTCGTGCTATACTACGTAACTCCTATACGTCCGATTTAGGATAGTGACAATATCACGTAGCCAATAAAGCAACTGTTCTATGCTTGTCAGATTTATTAGAGACAGCCCTCTGGGTTTCATCTAACTTCAGTTCGGTGTTATTCTGCAAAGCGAACCTGCATTTAATTTTAAGTAGGACTGACGGCAGAGTTACATACAGCAGTCGGATATGTAACCAGGGTTATAAGAGACTAATGCTAGATGTGTCTAGGCCGCGTGACCTTCCGTACCATTGCACTTTTAGTTCGTATTTTTGGTTCGCTTTACACTACAGGCCTTGTAAAGTTATAAGTAAAAGAATCGACAACAGTAAATAGTCGAATACCACCAATCAGAACGTATGTTTTATGCGATGAGTGTTATCTCGAGCTAGGATTCCTTGCAAGCTGTTTAACTATTTAGGCCCTAGACCCGTAGTCAATCTAGATCTCGGCGAATATATGACAAAACCGTGATCTCGTTTTCTAAGCGTATATACGGATTAGGTACGCGATTCGGAGACCATTGTTCGTCAGATCCCTAGACCACATCTGTCTATAGACTTACACAATATCCGTCTCCGATGCTTGTTGCATACGTAGGTATGTATTGTATCTCAAGACTTATTAAGCAGGTTGAAGAAACGGAAGGATCAAGCGAGATCGGCCTTAAGAAATCGGAACAAGCCTTGAGGAAGTGTAAGGTCTTCCCCCAATCCCCTCCTAATCCCTGCTGTCGCGGAGGGAGCGGGGCGGACTTAATTAAAGAGGGCTGACGGGCGGCGGGGGCCAAGTCCCCTAGCACGTGCACCGCATATGTAGCATACTATGTATGTACATCTGTACGCAATATTAAGGGAGAGATGTCTTCGTTGTCCTTCTAAGCGCAAAGGATTCCCACTTTGCGTTCCGAAAACACCCGTAGTTCAGCAACAGCCCCGTGGGCCAGCCTAAATAAAAAAGGCATGCAGTCGAGTTGCCTATGTACATACTAACACACGCAGTATGTATGGGCCTACGCCTCGTTGATGAACCGCGGTTTCACCGCTGTCGCCGATGCTCGTAACCGTACGATGTGCTTGACTAGTAATTTCGGGGTATTCTCATTACTTGATGAAAATATCTTCCCTAGTATTATTCGTCAGTAAGCGTAATTTGGGAAGATTTGACTTGCTGCGACATGACAAGGCTCTTTGTCGTATGTAGACTCTGGGTGAAGCGGCATGAAAAAGAGGAGCATGCCGACTCGGGACGAATATTTCCTTATTACCGACTTGCTTATGAGGCTAGACTAGAAGGGTATTGATAGACATAGTTGTATCGCAGGCTGCAAGAAGCACTTGACTTTTATGACAGCCCGTAAGGAGGCTTTTATGCATTGGGCAGATCTGTTAGAGGTACCTAATCACATGCTCACGAGAAGTTCCCTTGCTTTTTGATATTCAGATGCAGAAAAAAAAAAAAAAAAAAAACACCAATGTCTTAAAGATGTAGTTAAGGTTAAAATGTTATATGTGTTTCTTGCCACAATATAAATAAACTTCATGCTTGAATACCGTGGCAATTGCCTATAATAAAGCTCCTTCCCGTATGTTGCCCTGGCTGTAGGAATAGATTCGCGCCTGCCACCTGCCATGTAAGTGGTGTAAGTGGTGTAAGTGACCCGCTTAGTCATAGCAATCCGTAATAATAATTCTTCAATTGGAGCCTCACTACGAAGTACACATCCCACATCAAATCTTGCTTGCAGCAACGCTTCCCTGAAGAACTGCCTTCCGAAAACAGCATATTTCCCTCTTCGCTACGACCGGGACAATATCACACGAAATGGTCGTTAGCTCGATACTTCACAGAACCGCCAATTGCATTTAGTAGCGAATCCCCTTGTCCTGTTCCTAACCGAGCTCAACCACCATGTTGTCCCTCCTCCCGGACCTAACACCACGCGACGTACGTTGTTGGTCCGCCCTTATACCGCACCCCCAGGTAATCTTCTAGCTTGGGAAGCTAACAATGGCAAAATAGTCGCACTCGCTATGGTACACCTCCTCCCGTAACCCCCTCTCGAGCTTCACGTACGATGCGAACCCCCAACAGCAACAACAGCAGCAGCAGCAGCAGTTACAGCAGCAGGACAGCTCTGCTGGGAACCCCCACGGGGTTAATAACCACCGCCGCGGGGCCCATCTGATTGAGCGGTCGCCGCTCGCACGCCTACGCGCTGACGAGCAGAACCTCGAGCGCCGCCGCCTAAACGTCGCTAACTTCGGCAGCGCATGGCTCAAGCCCCCTGGCATCCCCAAGACCTTGCACCAGCTGCGCGAAGAGCGCCGCGAAGCTGAGGAGCACCAGGAGGCGCTTCGTCGCGAGCAGCTTGCCCAAGAACTCGCCGAGGCCGAAGCCGCGGGCGTTAACGCCGTCGATGCCGGTCTCGACGCGCAGGGCGACGATGGGGTTATGGACGACGTGCAATTAGACGGGGCTAGGGATTTGGACGAAGACATCCCTGAGGCGGATGCCGACTTTGGTATCGGATCTGATGATGAGGATGAGGATGAAGAAGATGAAGATGATAGCGATGACGAAGACGACTCTGAAGATGATGACGAAGATGACGATGATAACGATGATCCAGAGCAAAGGGCAGCACATGCGCAACAGCAGCTCATGGCACAAAGGATGAGGCAAGCCGACGACGCGTTTCGCGAATCGGGGGTTCGCGGGCGAGATAGCAACTACTACGGCGTTGACGACGAAGTAGACGACGAAGACCAGGCCCAGATGATCGAGGAAGACGACCTAATCGGTCACGGAGACGGTGCGGACATGGATATGGACGCCGATCTCGATGACGATATCCCCGAAGCAGAGGACGGAGGCTATGAGCACACGGACTCTGAGGCGGATATGAGTAGCGAAGAAGAAGAAGACCAACCCGAATTGAGCTTCGCCGCGCAGGCATCCCAGCAGGCATCCCAGCAGGCGTCACAACAGCATAGGTATAGGCATAGTCTAGCACGAAGTGACGCGACGCGGCATAGCCTCGCTATCAGCGACATCCTATCCCACGACGGCGACAGCATCGGAAGCAGCCCGCAATTCCAACGGCGCGCCAGCGGTCCCGCACGTCGAGCTCGAGGTTGAAGTTAATAGGGAGTCATTGGACCTTGCTTATATTCATCACATCACATCACATCGCATCACTTTGCATTGCATCTGCATTACCTTAAGATACCCATCCCCTTTTATTATTCTTCGTTCTTCCGCGCCGTCCCCTATGGAGAATCCGTAGCCAGCCAGCCAGCCAGTCTTTAGTATTTTCTAATGCAAAAAGAAAAAAGACGATGAAGACATGAATTATGATACATTTGATTACAAGGCTCGTAAAACGACTCGGCCGGCCCGCGTCTTCCCATATGTACTCGTGAACTCGTACCGTACCATACGTGTAAGTGTAGTGTAGTATGTCCTATTCAGAGAAGCCAAAAAATAATAAAAATAACCCTTTTGCGCATCATATCCGCTCCCATACCAAACATCCTAAAACGCCGTTTTCATAATGCTTTGCCTGCCTGTCTGCGTTGGTGTCTCTTCCATTCTCTCTAAGTCATTTTGATCGGAATTGTACCATCTCGCCTCGTTTTAGTTTCGTCTAGTCTTCGTAGGCAAAGTGAAAACCCGCAACTCGCAAGCCGCAAACGGGGATAGAAATCAGAATAGCCAGACGTAGACGAAAATAAATATGACGGCAGCAAAGAACGCCAGCCACACCTTCCAACCGACACCGGTGCGCTCCGCCATGACAAGCATGCGGTTCATAGTGCCGCGCAGCCGCAGGCGCGTCGAATCAAACGTATCGTTCATCTTCTCCGCGAGCGCCGAAGACTCCCTGATCTCGTCGCCGATAGCCGATGTCATCTTGGGACCGGGGTAGGGTCACGTTAGCATAATCTGTCTCAAAAAACATCTCTCTCCTCTCTCCTCTCCTCTCCTCTTGCGCAGCCACACTGGTAAGGTTGCTTCTTTTGTTTGTGTAAATGATATACTAGAATATCCAAAGCAAGCAAGCAAAACCTTCCCCCCTCAACTTACGCGCAGCATCAACAGCAGGACGAAACTCACATCTTTCAGGATCTTGACCTTCCCTAAGATGCCCTCGACCTGCTGGTCGTTCTGGCTCTCGAGCTCGTTAAGCACCGCGTCGCTGTATTGGCCCCTGTACGTCATCCCATCCGTTAGCTGGTTTGTTCATTCGCCATCGTAGATATATAATCGTAGAAATAGGTAGGTAGATGGGCATCGGTGCGGGTAAGTAAGTAGGTATTCGTACCTCGAATTCGGTGTCGCAGGCCTATAATTTCCCCTACTATCCACGCCTAAATGCGTGCTGCCACCGCCGGTCGCCGCGCCGTTGCTTCCCCCGGGATACCCATACCCGTAGCCGCCCGGCGCCGGGCTCGTTCGTCTCGCAGGATCGGCGCTATTCCGTCCGCTACCGCTGTAGCCCTCGAACAGAGCGCTGCGGGAATCTCGCTGGTGGAGCGTCGAGTGGCCAAACCTATAACAATGCGTTCCATTAGCTTCAATCTAGCCTAGACAAATGAACATCCATCCATCCCATAGTGTTAGTAGTAGTGCTTGTGCCGTATGCAAGCATGCACGTAAATAATGCAAACACCCTACCCTACCCTCCCCTCCCTTCCGCTCCCCTTTCTCGCCTCACCGCGGCGCGATCTACAACAAATCTCCTAGTGTCCCAAGAAACCCGCACCCCAGGTTACCGCGAAGCAAAGACCCAACCTGAAAACAGTTCATCCAATAAGTGTTCGCACGTACCTTGATGCCATGCTGTTGCGAAGCGATTGTAGAAAAATATGGCTGGAAAAGGATTAGGTGACAACGTATCTTATTCGATGTTGCGCGACTCAGAGAAGTGGCAGCTTGGCAACTAATATAAAGTACGGAATAAGCAAGCATGAATTAATTTGCTGGGGATACATGTAAAAAAGCATCTGCCAGGTGCTGCCACGTGTGGTCACAGCGGTATTTCCCCCCAAACAACCTTATTACGTGATGCCTGTAAAGTTTACTGTAGGTACCTAACGTACATGCAACTTACATAATATTTGACGGCTATCAGCGCAGTATCCGTAACCTTCTCAAACCGATGGCAGCCACCAAGGAAAAGATTCAGGAATCGGATAACATTAAGGTTAACCTAAAGTGAATTGTATAAGCTTACAGCTTATATAAATAGAAAGCTTGAACTGACTTTATACGTCAAGTGATAATCAATTACTTATCTCATCGGATAATCCCTTAGGTTAGTAGCATCCAATTCAACTCAGCATGAGATGTTCACCTAACCATGATATAAATATAAGAAATAATATCTTATACAATTCATGTTAATGTAGTAAAAACATCCTTCGAAACGCAAGCCAAGAACAGTCTCAACCATAGTTTTCAAAAATATACGTATATATAAATAAACGTCAAATCCATAATCACAAAGTAAAGAAAGGTTGTCAAGTCCATGTTTTCAATATTATTGACAATGCTCTTCGCTGTAGTCTTATTATTATGGATTAGGAACCAAAAAATGCCCCTATTCTCCTTTCCACACGAGACGGTCTGGATTAAACCGGAGAGCGGCTTCATCCAAAACCCATGTCAGTTAACTCGTAATCCCGCACCGCTGTTTAGATCCATCACTCCGCCTTGTCCATACACATGCCCGTCAACCCCCCCTCCTTGCTCCTCAACTCCTCGTAAGCTAAGTTACCAAGTTACCCTATATAGTGGGTAACAGTGGTATCGAAAGGTAAACGATAGAGTTGCACGTCGCTTCAAGTAGGCGGATAACGATGATGGTATTGGTTTGCGGTACAATGGAACATAGGAAGCGACCCGAGGACCAAGAAGCAGGACTCAAGACTGTATCGTAGAAATCGCTTCAGTCGAATATATATAGCAGTCGCCATATTCCCTTTCTTTGTATGTTATGATCTTGGAATTAAGATCTCCAGAAGAAGAAAAAAAAACATCTAGAGCAGATTCGCTAGTAGAAATATTATGCACAAAGGATAGTAAGCTGTGATGCAAAGACCGCTGAACTCCTTTTAGAATCCAAGACAAAATGTAAAACACGACATAATACCGTCGCCCGAAAGAAGATATATTGTGTCCAGGTTCGGGTATCATCTGAACAGTAACAGAAAACCAGTACGGAGAATTCAAAAGTTTTGAGAGATACCGGTGCTTTGTTGAGGATAGTGCGACGGGTTCTCAATGCGGGTATTGCGTCGAGCTGGGTTGTCCCGTATAACAGGTTGTCCGTATGCGCCGTCAGCATACGGGTTGTTCCCGCCGTATTGATCCAGGTAAGCCGGACCTCCGTAAGAGGCACCATTCTCCCCAGAGCCATCTGATCTGCCGGCTGCACTATAGGACGACGAGGCATTGGAGGGTCCACGGCGAACATCACCGTTGCCGTTATTGCCATCGGCAGTTGGGCCCATAGCGCCGAGGATCTCACCCTCAGTTGGCGAGTTAGAACGATCGCCCATTAAACCGTCTCCTGATCTCGTGTCAGAAAAGTTACCCCTGGTTGGTGATGTTGCATCGGAATAGGCCACACCTGCTGCACCTCCAGACATTGTGGTGGAAGCTTTTCTCCCAGTTGAACCCGCTAGGGTGGTAGAACCCCATCCACGATAGCCTGATCCATCTTCCTTCATCTCGTAGGCTCCTGCGGCACCAGCGGCTCCTACTTCTGGCAAAGTCGGGTCGTTATTTGGGTTGTAGCTGTAGTCTTCTACTTCTTTCCGCCTCTCCTCTGCAGCATCCTTTCGTTGCTTTCGTCTCCTCCAGAAGTAGATACCCGCAGCGACTAGCAACGCCACAGCAGCGATTGGAACTACAACAGCAACAGCAATCTTGGCCTGCTCGGCCATATGGGGCGAGTTAGAAGCACCTGGGGATATAATTGCATCAGACGGGCCTGCCGAAGATGTCTGACTTGTCGGCTGCGCAGGCTGCGCAGTCACCTGGGTCGAGGTAACGGTGATAAATTGTGTACTTCCATCTTCCCCCGTGGTCACTTGCGTTGTAGTGATGACCACGCTTGTTGGAGTCGGAGTTGGAGTCTCCGAAGTAGAGCTAGACGGTGTCGATGTCGATGTCGATGTCGGTGACGTAGGGGTTGGGGGGGTTGATGTTGACGTCGACGTAGTAGTAGGCGGTGGGGGGTTAGAAGTACTTGTAGTCTCAGACGTGGAGGTAGGTGGCGATGCTGGTGCTGAAGTAGAAGTTGATGTTGTCGGGTCTGGAGTTGGCGTTGGCGGATCGGAGGTGCTGGTAGAAGTGGTTTCGGGAGGTGGTGGTGTACTACTGGAAGTCTCAGCTGGAGGACTGGTAGACGTAGTCTCAGTCGGGCTCACAGACGGGCTATCAGACGGAGAATCAGACGGGCTCGACACTGCGTCCGGTGTGGACGTGTCGGCGTTTGTAGCATTAGAAGACATGGTAAACTGTCTCCTGGCTAGCAATCCGGAGAGATGCCTAGGGAGCGACATATTAGCATCACGGAATGGCTCAAGGAGAGAATGATGATGAACATTGAGAACGGTTAAGATGGATTGAAAATATTGTATAAAGAGCCGATCGCAAGAGGGTCTAAACAAAGTGGAACACTATTCGGATGGATGGGGCACTGGTACTTGATGGTCCAATGAAGTTATCGTGGAATGTGTCGCAAATCGCCACAGCATAAATTCTCAATGAATAACAAAACGGAATGAGAAACATACCTTTTACAAAAATCTGCTAGCCGACTTGATCAACTCACAGTCGAATAAAGACTGGATGATAGAGCCGCAACTCTTTTTTAGTGGAATCGACACTTGGACCTGGCTGCTGTTTCGAGTTGGGCCGTCTTGAGACGCGAACGGGGAGAACGCCAGAAGGGAGAACGAAGACGAGAATAGGACAACAATATGGGGAAATACAGTGGCACGGCCGGCGGATGGGCTGTCTTAACTAGAGCAATTGGGAACGATTGGAACGAACGAATAGGTACCTAGGCTAATGCATACGAAGTACACTGTGCAGGGGGACTCCTACATATGTAGGTAAGGCGTGGCTGAGCTCTTTTTTTTTTTTTTTTCCTTTTCCCTTTTCCCGCTTGTGCCTCTTATTCTTCGTGTCTCTCTCAGCTTATGCAAGGAGGTTGGAAATGATAGGCCAGGAATGCAGCAAACCAGAACGGGTCCAGGAGTTCTAGTTTGCAATAAGTTTCGGTATGTAGAAACGACGGTGGACTTTTAGTAAAACGAAGGTCAATTAGTATATTAAGTCATAGACTTGATCATGTCGTCAGAGGGGGAGAACCACAATGATTGAAGATAAAAAAAGATGAATGGGAAAGGTGAAAGAAAGTCGACAAGGGGGCGGATTCCCCATGGGTGAAGATTGACGACAGTACCTAGGTACATAATAAAAAAGTTGGAAATTCCAATGCAAGACGGGCACGTTCGATCCGGGAAGGTACTCCAATTGAGTTTAACCTCGCAGCCTTTGCAGGAATATCCCCGGCCGCTATGATGATTTTTACATAGTGACTTCGTTTAAGATTTTAGCTGACTTTAGTTGTGTAGTACGAGGTACACTAATGATAGATTAGCAGATCTAATGCCTTAAACGACTTAGCGCTTTTCTTTCGTGCTCTGCCCCTGGCAGCTTGTGGCTTAACCGCTCAAGTAGTAATAATAACAAGTCCGAAGTAATGAAGACTCTTTTTCGGGCATCATCTTATTATTGTCCCAACCCGCATATCTAAGCCGCATTTCGCTTCCATAACTACTAATAAGAAGTCAAAGAGATATTCTCAAAAGCCGAGTAGGTATTTATCAGCTTATTACTGAGAATCGTAGCTTGAGTAACTCTGTATACGTATAAGTACAACTTCATCTACCTCGCCGACGTTCTTTTGCCCCTGACTAACAAAGCCGCGGTACAAACTAGCACGACTCAAAATCTATCCAAAACAGGGCACATCCACATTAGGTATTGACAGTTGACATCCGAATTCCGAGGCAGTTGAACGTTAGCAACTCTATTCATTTAAACTAATGTCTAAAAGAGTTGATAGCGGTAGTAGCCTCATAGCCTAACCTGTCTGCTGTACCTATCAACTCTATAATTGACTTTAAGGTTTCTTCGGCTCCTTTTTTGCTGAGGAATATCCTAGGTTAGATCACCATGTTCTTAAGTTGGTAATCAGTCAACTTCGAAGAAAAAACATAATTCACAACTATATGAATTACTGAGGCTGTCATAGAGTTAATAAGGCCTATGCCTCAACCGTAGCATACGAGAAAATGCTCGCTTCTATATGAGCTACGTGATTCAATATGCATATACCACCAATATTATATAATGACATATATTCTCTATAAGGCAAACCCATCTCCAACTTACCTCTCTGCCTCTGTAAGCTCTGCAGCTTCTACGTAGGACATAGCCTCGACCCCAGCATCATGTATGCAACTCAACTCAACACAACACAACCCGCCGTTCAATATCCTCAATCAATAGCCCCCATACCACACGGTAATCCCTCCAAATCGAACAAGCCTTTAGCCTCCTCCATTCTCAACCTTGGAAAAAACAGTTCTAAGCAATCGACAACACATCATTAGAACGTCAACAGTGACCCATCGGACGGACGGGCTTACAACCCCGTTCCAGCCATAGCAGCAGAAGCAAATTCCTGCTTTCAAGTAGATATCCCTTGGACATAGCATGCGATTTATAGTTTCCCGCCAACGTCATGTCTACCGCAGCCACCAATTCCATACGCCCAAGACGATATGTAATTGGCCCACCTCAGCCCATCCATGACGATCCGACAGCCGGCAACGCCAATACGGTGCGAACTTACCTACATATACATACACCTAGGTACCTACCTTAGGTACCTAACCAGCTTTGCCATCTCAGGAAACGCCCTCCACAAATCTGATCTGTGATCGCACGGCCATGCGGAGAGTAAAAGATCAACGAAATCTCATTGCGATTTCTCATCTAACCCAAGGATTTATTTATAAATAGTCAGCTACGCTAGATAAATTTAAATAATATTTGTACACCGTAGATCGACGCGCTCCCATACGAAACACCGCAATAGGATCTCCGTGCGCCACTGTCAGAGTAAGCGCCAAATACCTAGGTATCTTACATACCTACCTTGGTTAAGTACCTGGTTAGGTACACAGTAGAGCCGCCACGGAGGAAACGTTACAGGCAATCTTCGGACGCCGAGACTACCTAAGTACATACGTCGTAGGATTTTATGACAACAAAGACAACACAATTTCTCTCCAGATATACCTACCTAGCAAAATGATAGAAGTGAAATCCATATTATAACACGGTATAGGTATACTAGTAAAAGATGGGTTAACAGGAACTATTATGCAACACCTACAATAAAAAAAAAAATAGCCACACCACTTTGGTTATAATATTGTTAAATAAAATCAATAAGCAAAAATCCCTAGGTATCTGTCGGTATAAACTGCACCGATCCTTCTATATGTTTCCGCCATGCAAGGTAAAATGCTTCGCCGATCATGATTGCTTTCCAAATTACTCCCCGACTGGAAGAAAACGGCATTAACAGTACATATTTGATCAGATATACAAGACAGCTGGCATTTGCCGCCTTCTAAGTCCTGACTGTATATCAAGCCTTATATTTCATTAGTCGCTCTAGTCCCTCATGTTCCACGATGGCTTCAGAGTATTGCCCATCGCCTGTTGTGTGAAAACGGTGTCTCCTGGTAGACGACTGACTCTACCAGCACCGCCGCGGATGGCACTTAGATTAGCAGACGAAATACCACTGCGGTTGCTAACAACACTACCCGAGTCGCTCATCGTGTCGGCGTCCTTAAACCGACGCGGGGGAGCGAAATCGAGGGCAGTGAATGTTCCTGATTTACGCAACAAGTGCCTTAGGATTCATGTTAGTATTTAGCTTGCAAAAGTATTATTAGGAATTCACTTACGGGCTGGGTAACGCTGGTGTGTCGTCGAAAGCGCTCACTAGCGGCGAGTGGATTGGCGTATTCAGGACATAAGGCTTGCGTTCGCCAACAGGGCTCTGCGACCGACCAGCTGCGATGTCCTTGAAAGAAGGGGGAGGAGCAAATTCGATGGAACCCATAATAGCAAAAGAATCATCTCTCAACTTGGAAGGAGTAGGCAATGTGTTAAGCGCAGCAGGGGGGGGCATCGGCTTTCGCGGTTTGCCACCCGCCCCATTACCTGCGAGGCGGTTGGAGGCTGATGAGTCCGGACGCGGGCTCATCGCTGCCCATCTACCAGCGGATTGCGTGGAGCCAGCCCTGGGTCTTCCGCGAGGTCCACCAGGCATGTTCATGCTTCCGTGGGGACCGTGACCAGGAGGACCACGAGGGCCGGGTGGACCACGGGGTCCCGGTCCAGGCATCGGTCGTCGGTTGCTCGGAGGGGGAGTCATAGCACGGCGCGTAACAGGTTGCGCGTAAGGCATAACGAATGCATTGCTGTCGGGGTCGAAAAATGCGGTATCACCGAGATAGTTGGCATCGTAATCATCATAGTAGGCTGCTTTCTGTGCTTGCTGGGGAATGGGTGGTGGCTTTCCAGAATCTGTCTTCGTCTCCTCGAAGTACTCTTTGTAGAATGAACGAATCCTGTTGGCTCTGAACTCGGGGTCTTCCGACTCGAGGAAATCATCCGGTGGAAGAGGACGGAACCCAACAGATAGCCTACGGTTATCCTGGCCGGGCACACCCAAGCCAGCGGAAAGTGGGTGCTCAGGCTCGTTTATACGTGGCGGCATGTGTCGGTCGCTGCTACCCGTTACATCATCAGCATCGTCGATCTGGAAATGAGCTGTGTGATCCTCGTAGTCATTAGTGACATTAGATGCGGCAGCGAGCGACTCATTCCTAGGCGGTCGCACTCCTGCGGGAAACGACTTGGCATCCTTCGGTGAGCTAGCCATCGAGTTCTGAGAGGCGCGAGCATCCATAATACCCAGGCCTTGGCCGCCGGACTTTGGCATAGCAACAGAGTTCATGGTGGTTGCAGATCCAACAGCGTTAACGGAACCGTTAGACACACGCGAAGCTGTTGCTGCCGGCTCCTGAATCTCAGGGACCTTAGCGACAGTTGGGGCATCATTGACGAAGCGGAATTCATTCTTAACCGGGAGGGAAGGCTGTTTATCTGCCGACTCACGACGCGATGATCGCTTCGCAGCGGGAGGCACTGGCTGAAGAGGAGATGGAGACGAAGGTAGCCCCTTTTGACGGGTAGAGAAATCACCGGCCGTGTTAACAGCGAGCCTCTGTCCGGGCCCTGAACCCCTATCAGGTCCTTTCTGTACGGAGCGTAAAGAACCCGCATCACTAGCGCCATAGCTGGTAACAGGTCGATACGGATCTTCACCTTGGTTAAGGCTTCTCGCAAGTGATTCCCGAGAGTTCTGCAGATTAGGCGGAAGGAGGTAAGGACTTGAGAGATTCATATCCATAGAAAGTTGAATTTTGTGACTCGGGTCCTTCTCCTTTCCGAAGAAAGCACTCCGCCTCTTACCCGCTTTGCCGGGCAAACTACCCTCAAGACCAAAGTCCATCGACTTGTACTTGTCTGTCTCATCCTCTTTCCTCTGCCTTACAGTTGTTCGGTGGTGTAAATAAAGCAGGACGGAAAGTGCAAGTCCTACCGGAATGCTACGGAACTCGTTAGTCATATCAGAAGCTGAACCAGAGAATATTGATCCTCACCAAACACCCAGGATGATCGGAAGAGTCATCGAGCCACCAACTGGCTTTTCGTCGAGATTATTTTCCCTGGGGACGATTTGAGCAATCGTATTTGTCCCGGTGAGAAGCGAGTTGCTAATCCCTTGTCCAGTCTCTAGTTGGCTAGGCTGCTCTGCCTCCAAAGGCAATCCCCTTATATGGAAATGGTGGTGACCGTGGCCATGACCACGGCCGTGAATAAAATGCCCCGCCATGGTGTCCAACTTCACACCCTCAATTCCTTCTCTTAAAGTTCACCTGAAGCTAGATAGAACTAGACAGTAGAACTAGACAGGTATATCAAAGCCGATATTGATTAAATCTAACGTGATTTTAGGCTCATGCCAAAGCGGTATTCGGGATAGTCGTCGAAAGTTGAAAGAAGCGCCGTTTAAATCAATAATGCTGCCCACTATGCTGAAATCGAATATTATTCTACGAAATCGATGTCTCAACACTAGTTGCCCGGGTAACGCAAGACCGGAAAGAATGACTTGTGATCGGGCACAAATGAATGACTCGAAGTTAGCTATTATTATTAAAGAATGGCACGCCCGCTGGCAGGCAGTTAGGTCAGGTTTGACCGATTGTCGAGGGACTCCTGTATTAGGTGTTGGGGTGAATAGGATGAAGGAGAGAAAGAGCAGAAGCAAAAGGGACAAAAGAAGGTGATTGACCGAATACAAATGCAATGTCACTTTTGGTTGACCGGGATCAGGGGAACCAACGAATGAAAATTAATATGGCGGAAATGAATGAAGGGGTTGTGGGGACTGCGATACGGTAGGTACTGTGTAGCTTCAGATAGGGAAGAATTCCAACCGAGTAAAGGGCACTGTCCTTACTACTGGTAAGCCACCGGACAGGGCAAACATTCGCTAGAGGGAACTGAGGAAAGACGCAAGTCAGTAGGCTGCCACTGACCGTGACGGGTCTGTAGTACAGCACTGTGCAGTCCCTGACAGGAGCAAGGGGACTACTGCAGGAACAGAAAGACCATCCAATCAGGTCCCATAATTATCCAGCAATGCTGATAGGGAGGACATGGGTTAAGCTACCCTAGTCCGAAAAAGAACTGGTCCAATTAGCTCCCCCCTTTTTGGGCAACTTGGTTAAACTTGGTTACGTTCCTTGAATCGTTCGAATAAGCCCTGGCGACCTCCGCAGCCTCCGCTATCTTCCCCTTTACCATGTAGATGCTTTAACCAGCTTGTATCCGGCCGAAATGAAAAGACAGCCTGCTTGTTAATTTCAAGGTTGTTCCAAAAACTCGAGCAACATAATATATTGTCGACAACTAAATTGATTACCTATGAATAGAACCTATTGCATCGGACGATGGTTCTCAATTGACTATACCATTTAATCGATCCTATTGGTAACGGCATGCATCCGTTATAAATAGGTTCAAGTGGTTCGTCAGACGGCTCCAGATTTGATCCTAAGGTAACATACACCAACCTGCTTGAACCTGTCGAGGTAGGTCGGTCGATTAATAGTAATCCAGGAAAATCCCACAAGTCCGGGAATTACCTGATTGAAGCTTAGCTAGTGCAGCTAACCTGGAAGTGCACCAATCCAACGACAAGCTTGTTTCTTTTTGAAACTATCCCTGGCGATTGGCTATTTACGTCTCAGCCTCAACGGGTTCGACTGCAATATTGTTTCATAGCTTGCTTCTCTTTAACGAGCATACCTCAACTACCTGTCTTGGATAAGGAGGTGGATATCATTAGAATACCTAGCCTTCCAACGTGGGAGCACGATGGCCTCGACCACAATAGACCTCGTCGTCGAAATATACCAGGTCAATTGTGTCAATTGTCTATTCTGGTAACCCCTTATGATTTAACTTGGTAGTATCCTGACGCATACTCTAGAAGCCACTCCTTCTCGATTTTGCTGATATCGCGGATGAATATCTTGCTGCCAGTTTCCATAACCTCGTGGAAAATTACCCAATCAGCTTTGCGATTGAACATTAAAGAACTAGGATGCGCATAGAGTGTTGTTCCACCTTCAACGTTGCGGAAGCTTCCATCAGGTTGCATTCTAGCCGCGTGGGCAAAATAGCCCGTCGTGAGACATCGTCGAATCTGCTCTCCTTTATTGACCGCTGATGTCTTGAGGCTCTCGTCTACTACTATTCCAAACCGTTCCAGGTAGCGTTTCAGTTGCGCTCTGATACTTACGGCGCGGGTCATAGCTTTAAAATTGAGATGGTTTTCGTGACAAAACTTCGACTCTTTCTTGCCCTTGGTTATAAATGCTTGGTAGACATTTAGAAGCGTCAAGTGATCGCCTTCTTCTGCAGCGAATTTCCGTCGTGAAGACTCTGTCAGCTTCTTTTCCCCTTCCCTCTGGATCCATATGGAACCGCTAAGGGTTGTCATCGCCGCGATTGTAAGTATTTCGCTAAGGCAGTCAAATGATGAGGCTGTTAATAGGGTTTTCGCCATCATGGGCTCCACCGCAAGCTCCGCCATCCGCATACCCAGCGGTTTTGTAAGCTTAGCGTACTCATCCAGGGCACCTAGGGCAAAAAGCAGTTCTGTTGCTTTGGCCATAAGTTCCGCAGGTGGTGGTGTCAGATAATCGAAGCGTACGACGTTATCAATACCAAGCGCCTTCAGTTGTAAGATAAACGGTGCAAGGTTAGACCTTTGTATTTCCGGGATGTTCGCATCAGGTAAGGCCTGAAAAGCCTTTTCGGTGTAAAGCCGAAAACATTTTCCTGGCTTCGTGCGCCCAGCCCTTCCCGCACGCTGCTGTGCCGCCGCCTTTGAGACAGGTGTTGCTGTTAAAGACTCAATGCCAGTCTTAGGATCGAAGGCTCTTAGTTTGACGAAGCCCGAATCAATAACATAGACAATACCGTCGATTGTAACAGATGCTTCCGCGATATTAGTCGAGATTATGACTTTTCTTGTGTTCTCAGGCGGACTATCAAATACCAGCATTTGTTGCTCTGTTGATAACCCCGCATATAATGGAAGAGCAGAGATTGATTGAGCGGCTGGCGGAAGTTGGGCTGCTCGTTCCGCAATGGCTTGGACAGCGGTATCGATCTCTTCGCGACCGGTCATAAAGACAAGAATGTCGCCATCTGGCTCTTTGGTATGAATGTCGAAAATCGTAGACATCGCCTTTTCAACGTAGTCTTCCGCCGGTGACTCTAAATAGAGAACATCTACAGGATACATCCTACCTTCAAGGCTAATTATTGAACCTATCTCACTCTTTTCGCCGTCGGGAGGTCCTTGGTTATCGGACTGCTGGGAGAAGAAGTCGAGAAAGTCTTCCGCTTGAAGAGTAGCGCTACTAATAATAATGCGTAGCTCTGGTCTTCGCTTCCGTATCTTCTTAAGAAGACCAAGGAGAATATCTGTGCTTATAGACCTCTCATGGGCTTCATCAACCATGATAACGGAGTAGCGCGATAGCAATGGGTCGACCAGAGCTTCTCGAATAAGTAACCCGTCTGTTAAGAATTTAATTCGAGTTGCAGCAGATGTCACATCCTCGAATCTAATCGAGTAGCCCACCTCTTTTCCCAACTCACAGCCATACTCCTCGGCTACTCTGATTGCAACTGTTGTAGCAGCTACTCTCCTAGGCTAGTTAAGTTAGACATAGATTATAAGAAGAAGCAAGGAATCATACCTGAGTAACACCAACTATCTTACCGTCAGAGCACCATCCCGCATGCTCGAGGAACTGCGGTATTTGTGTAGTTTTACCAGAACCTGTGTGCCCAACGACGATTGTTACTGGGTTTTTCTCGATGAGGTAGAGCAAGCTATCGTGATGCTTGGCGATGGGTAGTAACGCTGAAGGCTTATGAAGAGCAGGGATGAATGTTGAGTTGAGGTCAAAGTCTGCCATGTCGAATAGAGTTTTCCTTTCAATAGTAATACCGGGTTGTCGCTTCACCACGTTTCTAAATGTAAAGCTTGTGTACTTGAAAACACCTGTTGAACGTGCATCCCAGACTTTGTCTAGGCATTTAGGATCTACATACGTAGTTATGTAGTTAGACAATCAAACTAGTTAGTTAGTCTTAGAATGCTTGTATTTTTTGAGTTTACTAGATATCAAAACATTCTTTCTTCGGCGTTGCAGCAAATAGATATTAGTTTCAAGCCTTTAAAAGTATGTTTTAAAGATGCTTCAAGCTAAAGAGCCAATGGTATCATAGTATCAAGTACATGCATGTGACTAACCTAGAGTTATCTTTTACTTTTATGGCACATGAGTTTATCACCCACGCAACTGCCAGGTAGGTAAGATCTGTGGCGCAGTATCTAGTACTTGTGTACTCGTTATCACTCAGCCATGTGGCGGGGGACGTCATCCGCGTCGCAACTCGCCTTGCCCCTCAGGCCGCCGAGATGTTACCTAGTACCTACATAATGTAGTGTAGGTATGCGCATGAACCCATAGCTGTATACATAGGTATCTCTAACTCTCCTGTTTTACCTTAGCTGTGCCTAATTAGGCAAACAATTTTATCCTCTTTTACTCCTGCAACGATAACTCCATTTTGCTATTCTATCAATAATCATTCGTTAATTCGTATCAACCTCCTATTTTACTTATCTCTCCTGTGTCCACTTGATCAACATGTCGGCCCCAACTGATACGGTAAGTTTCCATGTGAACCTGTTGCCGAATTTAATGCAATGTCCCGCATTTTTATTCTCAACGAGGACTTCATTCGCTAACATCGTGTCTGTTAATTACCTATAGAGCAAGGCTAATCCAGCGCCTGAATCTCCGACCACTGTACGCCCGTTCGAAATGGACGACGATGATATTCAAGAGACGGGCATTCTTGGCGATGATAATGCCCATCAGACGACCGCCAACGCGACATCGACTACCGCCAACCCACCCACAGCCAGCGAAGAAACCGCACCGCCCAAGCCTCCTCGGCCAGTTACCGAGCAACAAAAGAACGAATTAATTCTCAAAGAGGCCTTTCCGAGCATCGAATTACCGGTCATCAAAGCTGTTTTGATCGCAAGTGGTGGTCAAATCGATCCAGCTTTCAATGCTCTATTAGGTATGTATAGTGCCGCTGAAGAACCGGATCGATTTATTAATCGTAAATGAAGCTATGAGCGATCCGGATGCTGTCCAGAACGAACCCGCGCGCGAGGCTGCCCCTCCGCCTCAACCTCCGCGACCTACTGGGGCTAGAAGTCCTATGTCGCAAATAGAGGCCGACGAGCTCTACGCCCGAGAGCTTACCCAATACTACGAAAATGTTGGTGCCTACGAAGCGAGGACGACAAATCAAGGTCCCGGTGGCCAGTATCGCCGACAAGCGACAGGTCTAAAGCCCAACGAGATGTACGACCGAGACCGCAGCTTCATTGATGATGATCTGCCTGTCATTAAGGAAAACCTCCGCAAAGGATTCCTTGAAACCCAAACAAAGGTCAACTCCTGGTTTACCAACTTAAAGAAGAAGATCGACGGCGAGTATGATGAGAATGAGGACGAGACGCAGCCCTCTAAGCATCAACGCCAGGGATTCAGTAGACGTAGTGGAGAAGGCTCGCGAAGAAGTGCCGACTACGATCGCTACGACGCCGACCCACAAGTTCTCAGCGACGACTTTGCAGGGATGAGGCTTCATCCGGATGGTAGTGAGTGATACTTAATTATACTAGGTATATAAAAGAACCGCAGCTAACACCAATATAGGGTCATCTCAAGAACGCCCATCAGGCAATCCAAGTCTTTATAGACCACCGCCATCTACATCTCCTAAGCCTGAGGGTCGCAAGGTTGCTTTCAAGGAGGGAGTCGAAGACATTGACCAATATAATGCCTCCCCAAGAATTCCTCCCAAAGACAGCAGCGCAACTCCCCCTCCTGGCAAGCAGAGCAAATGGCAGCCTTTGTCTACAATTGAACCCAATCCGATTACAGATAACGATCCCTTTAGCCTCGGCGACAGCGAGGACGAGAAAGACGCGAAGGAAAAGAATGGCGGAGGGATCAAGATGGAAGACAGCGAAAGGCTCAAGCAAGCTACAGCAGATGCCATGGCTGATAGCTTGGTCGGGGGTTCTGGAAAGAAGACTGATGGTAAGGATTAAATGAGACGGGTTAGAATACGATAACTGCGCATTTGGCGGTAGAGATAGGGTAATGTTGAGTGACGCGGCTTGACTGCGCCGTACGCGGCTAGGCTATGCTATTCATTGGCCTTTAGATCAGCATTTCCGATCTGTTCAATCCCGATTTATTCAATCATTCCTTGCCGTGTGAAACCCGAAACCCGGTTCCCGAGTTGAATACCTACCTTAGACAAGACGGCGATCGTACCAGACTACAGGTAATACTATTACAGTAATAGTAACGAGACACGGATAGCAAAGGTTTAATTGGCTAAATGTACAGCATATATTCGTATCCGTATTTAACCCTAGCATTAAAACGATATGTCTCCTTCAGTTCTATGCAAGACGGGAGCATGCAACCCATATCATCGCGTCACTATCTTGGTACGGGAATATAGACAGCCCGGCAACACTCCAACGGGTCGCAATAAGTATCCGATACTTACTATACCTGTACTTCTTTCTCTGTAGACTGCCTATATTGCGACTCAGCCCCGCATTGAAACGACTTCAGGAAAGGCGTATAGTACAATACATGGGAAGGCCTTACGGGTGCCTTAGGTAGGTATCCGAACATCTTATATAAATACGTGATTCGCCATTTATCGCATGCTCACTTCCCTCATTTGTGGACAGACATAGTATTATATCTTATATATATCTCTTATAAGATATAACGATGTCGAGGCTATTAGAGTTGTTAGAGGTTGAGAAAGCCAACGCTGCGAAATATGCCATACTCACAGCCGTCGTGGTACGTCCCGAACCGGTATTACTATACGTACCTAATAATAGCTAATAAGATAATATGTCACAGCTCATCATATCCGAAATAACGATAATCGTCTATAATCTTTACTTTCACCCGCTCCGTGACTATCCCGGGCCGACATTATATAGAGCATCCCGACTACCATGGGCTCTCAAGTTTGCCACCGGTTCTCAGGCCTTCTTCGTTCAGAAACTTCACGATCAATATGGATCTGTCGTTCGTATCGGGCCGAACCACCTTTCCTATACGGATCCGAAAGCGTGGAAAGACATCTATGGTCATCGAATCGGCGGCGAAAGTAGCATGAATGAGATGTCGAAGGCGCATACTTTCGTTAAGACGATTCGCAGCAGGCCCGACTCGATCTTGACTCTGAACCGTGATGATCACTCCAAGTTTCGCCGCGTTCTTTCTCACGGTTTCTCTGATAGTGCGATGCGTGAGCAGGAACCAACGATTGGGAAGTATATCGACCTTTTAATCAGCGTAAGTAGCCTATAAAATACTAGAAGTTATCTATCTTATCTCAGGGGCTAGGTGGCCTCGAGGCTGCTCTACTCCTAAGGTAGAAGGCGAAAGTGCTGTATTCTACTGTCGTTAACAGACCCCTATAATTTAAGTACCCCTTTAATTGATGATAACTGACACATATCCAGAGGTTACACGAGGAATGTGAGAACGGGAAGAAGAAACTGAACATCGAGGCTTGGTATAACTGGACTACCTTTGACGTCGTCGGTGATCTTGTTTTTGGGCAGTCATTCCACTGTCTTGAGAACATCGACTACCACCCCTGGATCGAGACCATCTTCAAAAGTGTGCACTTCGGCGCTATGATGATCGCTTTGACATACGTTGGCCTGGGCGAACTTGTGCAGATAATATTCAAGTTTGGAAGCTCTCCTAAAAAGGCACGCCAATACACCAAAGACATGCTGACTGCACGACTCGCTATGAAAGGGGAGCGTGATGACCTCTTCGAGGGCGTGCTTAAGAAACGTGAGGAATGGGTATGGTCATCCTTCTTCTCATCATGAGCTTGGAATTTTGATGTTATAAGTACTAACTCTGTCTTCTCACTTAGAATCTCTCATTCGAAATGTTGTCTACAAACGCATTCCTTCTTGTGATAGCCGGATCTGAGACGACAGCAACGACATTATCTGGCGCCACCGCCCTCTTGCTATCTCACCCAGATATCCTCGAGAAGCTCCAACAGGAAGTCCGCTCATCGTTCAAAAGCGCCGATGAAATTACTATTACTTCGGTCAACAAGTTGTATTACATGCTCGCGATCCTGAACGAAGCACTGCGCCTTTACCCCCCAGTTACCTCTGGTCTAGTTAGGACAGTGCCCCCCGGCGGCGAACAAGTTGCCGGCCGCTATGTTCCCGAAGGTGTAAGTACCTCGTTATCCCGAAATCTATAACCACTCATGAATTCACTACCGGGAAGAAACTTACACCCGTATAGACATTCGTCGAGGTCCAACAGTGGTCGATCAATCATAGCAAGGACAACTGGAAAGACCCTTGGGAGTTCCGGCCTGAGCGGTTCTTAGATACTCCAGAAGCGGCTGCAAAAGCAGGCAACAAGCTTGACGCACTACAGGCCTTCAGTATAGGGCCGAGGAACTGCATCGGACGCAAGTATGGCAACACCTGACTCCCGTGTCGATTATACCAACTAACAAATTTTTTTTTTTCAAAGTCTCGCATACACTGAAATGCGTCTAATCCTAGCCCGCATCATCTTCGAATTCGACATGAAGCTTTCGGAAGACAGCCAGCGGTGGATTGAGCGGCAGGATACGTTCGTTCTCTGGGACAGGTTAGTATCTATTTCTATTTTCCCTACGTTTGAGTCGCGATGAGCTCGATTGGACCCGATGACCCGACCCCCCAAGCCCACTAAATAGGGCTGTTGCTAATATTCTCCGGGATATAGGATCCCCCTGAATGTAACCCTAACACCAGTTAAACGGTAGTCTACACATGCTACGCCTAATATATAAAACTATAAGGGGGTTACACTCGGTTTATAGTTCTCTAGGAATGAAAATACAAGTGTGTATGCTACTTATTTGTATGGGATAGTTATGGTTATGAGTCGGAATTTACGCCTTTCACAACTATCACGTCGATCATCGCGGCAGCCAGCCACCATTTCTTATGTAAATATCTGTGTATAAAAGTATGGTCTTTTTATAAATATAGTCAAACGGTTCAAACCCCCTCTTGTAGCTATGTTATTATATTTTATGAAAGCTTCTTAAATAAAACTGTGTTAATAAATAGAAAAAAGTTTATTAAGCCTTGACTATCATCCTTTTCATGTAGGGACTTACCTAAATTACTCATTCCCTTCCAAAAGCTCATACATCCACCAACCGGAAACCGGCTGGAGTGTATCTGGGCCCGTCTTGTCGCTAAGTTCAGGCCTCCCGGGTTTGAAATATGAGGATTCCGATTCAAGTAGTTCCCCGCTACTAGAGACAGCCATTCCGATAGAACCAGCTACTAATCTCGTATTATGTATAACTCCATTATCATTCACTGTAAGCGGGACCGAGGAGAACGCGTCCGGTATATCAGACATATCGATGATATGAAACAAGGTACCATCAAGACTACAACCGTATGTGTCTGGTGTATATGACTCGAAAGGAATCAGCGGTAAAGTGTACATGCATTCCCCGTTAACTTTCCAGAACGTAAAAGCGGTGATCCATCCTGAAAGATACTCAACGCCCGAGCCGCCTTGCCGGTCTGCTATCCTGGACCAGAAAGACAGCACCTCGGGACTGGTCGGTTCGTCAAATGAGCGAACGAAGTAGTCGAGCACCGCAGTCAAAAGGCGCGCGAACTGTGCCGGCTCCTTTCCCAGTCGCGGTAAATACTCCAGACGACGCCGGATTTTAACCCAGTCTTCTCTCTCGCCGAGGAGAGTCACAGAGGGTATCCCGCAAGTTAGAAGAGCGAAATACTTGAAATACTTCTGCAGAGCGCCCATCATAAGAACCGCGGCCGTCACCGTGTCAGTGTGCGTCGTCGTAGTAAAGTCCGGCATGATCCACGCCGTCAAATCCGGATCGACGACATTCTTTTTGATCTCGTCCGTCATCCGGATCGCCAGCCTGCCAAAGTCCACGCTGGTGATAGTTCCCACTTCGACGACTTCTAGCTTCTTCTGGCCCTCGTGCGCGACGAAGAACGGCCGCAGCTCTTCGGCGTGGGCGTTGATGTGCGTGCTTAGTTGGGCTATGATGGAAAACCAGACATCTTCCGGGCGGATTTTCAGGTGGTGATGATTGCTGTAGGCCTGGTAGACGGCTCGGACGAAGCCGTTGGAAGAGGCGAAAACTTGTGCGTTTTCTGGGATTTGGATGGAGGACTGGACTAGTTGCTTGCAGCGGCGGTGGTCACTTGGACAAGAGCCTCGCAGGAGTTCTGTGGGGGATGCTGCCGCATCACTCCTCTTCCAAGCTCGAGCAGGATGGGCAGCGGTTTGAAGTGTGATAGGCATTTTGAGATTGAGGTTTAGGGGTTGGGTAGTTTGACATACCGTAGTTATCGATGAATAGGCATATATGTAGTTACCTATATATATATATATAGGAAGAATATATTTAGCTGCCTATCAGTGGGGTGATTGAATCCACGGCAATGCTACGCTACTGCCTGGCTGTGTATCTTTATTGGATAGGAGTACGCTGCTGTGCCTTACGAGACGTAATCAGATCTTTAGTTGAAGCATCTTCTCAGCTCTAGATTTAGAGCTATTTCCCGAGTAATATGGGAGCCTATTAATACCTCCAGCCTTATCCCTCCGGACGATCTCGCTAGGGCTAGGTCGTATCAATATGCCCATTAGGTGTTTGTTAAAGACTCATGTCGCTCTTTCGCTCATCAGTCCTTATCCTGGGCAGAAATATGGTTGTTGAATTCTGTTTAGGGGGCGTGCTGCCGTTGCTTCTGGGAAGGGCCTCTCTCTATTTTTGATTTGGGTTTAAAACCTGGGGCTTAAATGCCTGAATAACTGCTACTAGCCGTCGCAGGTAAGGCTCTTATCCAGACATATTTGCAGTATCCCCCAAACCAGTGATAGGTAAAATCTCGCTTTCTATTTTTCTCCCCTTATAACCCAACATAGCGATGTTGTCAACGTAGTGTCCAATCCCGGCTCCGCGGCCTCGAACTTCTCTCTATAGACACCATACATCCGGCATCTGACCCAGTCATTGGGTACTCTACGTACCCGAGAGTGTAGCGTACAAGGAGTCCTTCGTGGTACTACTGGAGTACATCAGGGGAGAAATGAGCGTGTAGTGTGTAGTAACCTCCGGCCAGATCGAATACGAGGAGGACATAACGGTAAGTTTGATATGGGTCATGAAGCTTAAAGAGGATGGCAATGGTAATATAAAAATAGTTGAGAGAACCTGGCGTTTTCAAAAAAAAAAAAAAAAAGGGGGGGGGGGGGGGGGGTTTTCGGGGTAATTACCGATTTGCTTGTTACCACGAGTATTCCCTATATCTTCTGGTGAAAGGTATCCATAAAGGATGAATGGAAGTCAAATACTCCAATATCACAATGGGGGATACAGGATAGAACATACGTAGAGGTAACACACTGGCCTATTGTTGGAAATATGTATTTGCATGTTGTTAGGCTAAATTATTCACGATGGTTACATCGATTTCGATTAAGATAAAATGCACTTGCTTCAAGAAAAATAATTTAGCATATAATATTTATAAAAATAAAACGAAAATAACATAATAGAAATGCGCAGCATGGGAAAAAAAGGGGGTAGGTGGTAGGCAGTAATAAAAACAATAGCACAAATGAAATACAAAAAGGGAAAAAAGAATTGCAAAAAAAGCTCGGTCTGGGTGTTGAACCCAGGACCTACGAAAAACTACTTTGTAAATGTCGTACTGTCAAGTCACGGGCATACCGGTCCAGCATATGACACCACGGTGCAGTTTTCTCTAGCCTCCAGTCACCCAGGGATACTTCCTTTTTGCGGGGTCGGCTGAGCGTTTGCAGTTTATTTAGATATATAAGTCTTGTTACCTAGGTAAGTACGTATTTACGCAGGTACATCTCGTTGCCCTTGGCGAGGGACTTACAGGTGTGCTGCATATCTTCAGGTGCCAGGTGGCGTGCCAAAGTTGCGAATAGCCTCTGTGAGGCAGCAGCTTACAGTAGGTAGCTTAATTAGGTAGGCACCTACCTAGGTACTTGATGCCCGGACCAACCAGCCCCTTTTCGAAACTCTGCATTGTAGGGTTTGCCGTTTTGCGTCTTCTGGTCCCTACACCTTTAATCATTTGGAATAGATGTGATATCGTTTGGTAAGATATTGATAACTTGCATTTATTGCCTTGATTTTATTAATCTACCTACCTAGTGAACCACTGTAGATTTGCAACTGCTTGATGCTAACAATTATTTACTTATTAATATCCTGAGGCTATAGAATCTTTAACCAGCCCTATCTTGTATCGATATATAATTTAAGAAGTTGTTATGAACTTTAGGTCCGTAGTAATGTGCTTGGGCCCGTTAAAAGAAGCGCGTGGTAGGGATATTAGTTATCATAGCTGTTAGCTCACCTTGCAAGGCTGACAAGCTAACAGCTATGACTTCTTCTTTTTGGCTCATGAAGTTTAATGCATAAAATTATGCCCGCCCATTTTACGTAGCTACGCACAAACCATGAAGCTCAAAGAACTAGTTATGCCTTTTGCTACCTTCTACTTTAGTCTTGCCGATATTTGACTGTGCTTATAGATGAGTTATACTCTTGCCCTTAAGTTCAATAGGTTTGATACTCCATTATAGTTAATTCAAAGGCCCGGGCAAAGTATAATTGTATACCTCTTAACAGTAGTAGGTTGAAACTCGGAAGAGCAATACTGGATTAACTCATTGAGAAATTAACCTTCCGAGATTCTTGGAACTTCGAGGACATCAAGTCATTCCCCGAAAACTTCAATATAATTAAATCATATGTTCTTTAAAGTATTAAGTCACATCTACTCTAAATTAGTAGAACTATCATCGCCGTAATTCTATAGGAGGAATAACGCTGGTTTTGCAATCATTTAAAAGAGCTGACGTTAATATCTTCTAGGGATATAGATATTAAATATTCACTTGAAAAAGGCATATCGAGCATTGATGTAATAGATGACGACAATTTCGCGGTTAATATCGACCAGTTCTAAGAATATCTCATCGAGATTGAGATCAACTAGATCTGTTATTTCACACTAGAGTATACGGTGACTGCTATAAAACTAGAGCAGAGACCAATCATCCTTCCATCTATGAAGATGACATATTCGGAAGGAAATGCAAAACAAGGAATATGAGATTTTGCCAACAACGAAGATGACGTATAAGTCGGAGACCCGAAAAGGCCTGGTGATAAAACGAAACGGAGGGAGAGGACAGCGGAGCACCGGGACCTGCCGATCTCACCCCGGGCTCGGAGACACACCCCGGCTATCCTCACTCAGCCTCGTGCATGAGATGTCGAGGGCCACGAGGTGAAGATAAGAGATCTGATTGGTCAAAAATGTCAATGGGAAAGAGGAGAAGAAAAAAAAGTAGCTGCGATGTAAAGTGGATCGATCGACCACTCGTGGGGCTGAGCTGCAGCCCGTTCCCGAAAAACCGAAATCCAAGGTATCCGGTACTCTGTCCGTGTGCTAGGATTTGTTCGGGGGATATAAATCCGTTACGACTATAAGATCGTGAAGAAGTCCTTTTGAACGTGATGCGTCCCGGCTTTCCTTTTCAAGTTTTAAATCATGCGGCAAATAATTTTTTTCCTCGCTGACATCTATGATAGATAGACATGTTAGTAGCTTAGTTTATTCAGGTAGTGAAGTATCTCAAGTATGCGGTACAATGAAGTTGCTTCTCCGGGTGCTAGTGCCCCACTAGAATAGATGAGAAAGTTGTGTTCCACCCCGACTTCCCTCTAAAGTATACTAAACATACTACTACTAAAATACTCTACACTAAAATACTCTACACTAAAATACTCTACACTAAAATACTCTACACTAAAATACTCTACACTAAAATACTACGTTCAAAAGACGACCCCTCTAAAAGCTTGTCTGTTATCAATCTAGAAGCTGGCATCAAAGGCCACTCGACGGTGCTCAACAAGCTCATTACGTATAAGATACAGCACTCGCTAAGCTCAAAACAATGACTTCAGACTCTCGATCCACATTCGGATGACCCGTACGAACGATATCATATGTCTGTATGTGAATGTAGCCTGAATAGTCTGCAAGGTTGCAAGGTTGTTAGGTTGTTAGGTATATTGGAGCTAGGAAAGCGTCAACACTAGCTTCTCGGCGCTCGAGAATCCAAAGGCCATCGAGAATTCATAGTGCCATACGGATTTGACGTCGTGAAGAAGTTCGACTGGTGAGAAATTCTCCATTTTTCCTGTAAGGTACCTTTCCTACCTTTTCCTACCTACCCCTACCCCTCCACGGGAGTCACCATCGCCATATTAAAGTCTGGGGCACGTCCTCATAACAACTCTCCTGCGTCACATCCGTCTTCGTTGAATCTATCAGAGCCTATCAGATCCTTTGCTCTTCCTGTTACCTGCTACATATACCAGCTCTAAGCCCTCTCATCGGGATCACCAGCCGCTCCATGCAGAGAACACCACTGCATTCCACCCCGTCTGACCCCCACCTCTCTGTCTAGCAGCAGTCATTGGATCCAATACCCAATATCTCGGCCTGCCTACAAGCCGTCTTACCAAACGCCTCGAACTACCTGAAGCTCTGACCCTAGTACCGAGTCGCTGTTGTACGACCGACCAGATCGTCGTGGGCGTGACCTCCCCCCCATCAGTAACTTGCTGGACCTTGGATCGTGTGAATTCAGATCCGCCCGGAAGGCATAGTGCAGCACATCGGCTACATTTATTAGGTCCGAGGCCCTCGTTATCATTACATCAATCTAGCCTAATCCCAGGCTCTTCTATGCAACATTCCGAAGTAGTGGCTGATACCCAGAAGCTGCAGGTTGGGCGGGAATCCTACCCATGAGCTCACGCCCTACTAGAACGCGCCCCTCTCCTTGAGTTGCCACATGCCCGGAGCTTTAGTTCGTCTGGTACTACTTTATCCCTGACTATTAACTTCGTTCTTCCGTTTGTCTCTCTTAACCCCCTGATATCCCCAGGGCCGATAATTATATGACTCGGGAGATACGCCTTTGCAATCCCTAGCTTCTCATATCTACGTCAACCCTACCGTGCCGCTAATCCACGCCTCTGCCTTAGCTCCCCTGACACAACCGCTCCCCTGCATTTGGTTACACGCGGGAAATAGCCGTTTAAGTTATCTTTATTGAAACACGCTTTTTGCTTCCAGCCTTGAGGTATCTATCCAAGTAAACAGCCTTCGCAGGCTGGTTGCAGGCGCCTCTGCCGCACCATGTAAGTCTTACTCGTTGGTTGCCGACTACCTTATCATCCCCTTGCCTACCGAGCTAGAATATCGCCTCTTGCGTCGGCAGGGGTTACTAATGCCTCTTCAGGAAGTTCGGTAAGCAAATCCAGAAGCGTCAGCTTGAAGTGCCAGAATATGCTGCTAGCTTCGTGAATTATAAGGCGCTCAAAAAGGTACGTTAACTATTGCTCTACCTAGTATATCCTAGTCAATGATGTATACTCTCCCCGGACTTTAAGAGGTCTAGGTCCATGTCGATCAGGAAAACAACATAACTTCCATTTGTACCATCTTATATGAAACTTATGTTGTTCGGAAAGTGGGATTGTTTCACTAACACCAGCCAATAGCTCATCAAGAAGCTCTCTGCTACCCCGACGCTGAGCGCCCAAAATGACCCTCGCTTTACTCCCACGCCGGTGGACACCCAAGCTGCCTTGCAGGCAAACAAAGCAAAGTTCTTTTTTCAACTGGTAAACTCTAACCTCCCATGGAGGAATACGTACTCGTGGGCGGCGCTCATATCTTGTAGGAACGAGAGCTCGAGAAGGTCAATGCATTTTACCTTCAGAAAGAGGCCGAAGTAAGTATAGCTTCTGTTACCCCAGATTCTACACTTGGGCCCCTTATTGACACCAACCAAGCTGAAAATCCGGCTTAAAACGTTGCTAGACAAGAAGAGAGTTCTACAGTCTCGTCAGAACGTATCTAGACGGTCGGCCAAATTCACGACGTTGGAAGAAGGGTTCCAACAATTTGCAAACGATCTGAATAAGCTTCAGCAGTTTGTCGAAATAAATGGGACTGCCTTTTCGAAGATCCTTAAAAAATGGGATAAGACCTCCAAGTCTAAGACTAAGGAGCTATATCTCTCCCGCGCTGTAGAGGTGCAACCGTTCTTCAATGCCCCGGTCATTAGCGAACTCTCGGACCAAGCGACAACTAGCTTACAAGAGCTCGGGGCGTGGTCAGATGGGGACCATGTCTCGTTTGAAGCTCGGTCGGAACACATGGTGAGTAGCCAACACCTCCTCGGAACGGACGAAGGCGACGCAGATAGCCTATTACTCGACACAGCAATCAGTGGCAACCTAGAGTCTCTAAGGGACTTGCTATCAAGAATGAGAGCTGGTTCTAGTTCGCCATCGGGGAAGGACATCTCCTTGATGGAAAGAGTAACCCGTACCTTTCTCGCTGCTATTCACGAGGCGCCACAGGCTTCTCTTGAAGTTCTACTGGAGACTGGGCTCGTCGACGTTCGATCTGAAGATGACATCAACGAGCGAAACTGCCTTCACCAGGCCACCATCTACGGGAACTCATTTGTCTTAGACGTTGGTCTCGCGGGAGGGGTTGAGGTTAGCAGAACTGACGTCTATGGGCGTGTACCGCTTCATTATGCAAGCATGCATGGGCGGTTGGACATGCTTGAGCAGCTTCTTCGAGGTAAGGACAGGTTAAACACTTGACTAAATCATGTTGTGCTAAATCTAGTGCGTAGCCGATCCGACGACAATCGACCTTATAGACCACGACAATTTTACTCCGCTAATCCACGCTATCATCCATGGTCACCTTACATGCGTAAAACGGCTTCTCGAAACCTCCTCCCGCCTAGATCCGAAGTCAGAGACGGACCATATACCACTCAACCTCGCCTGCGAGCATGGGTCACTCGATATAGTCGAGCTCCTCCTAGAGCATGGTGCCCAGATACTTCCTGATGCCGAAGGCTTGTACCCGCAACATCTCGTAGCTCGGTCGGGCCAGACGCCTCAACTACTCCGATTGCTGCAGAACTATGGTGCGGACTTGGATCAAGTCGATAAGCTCTACGGCTGGACCCCGCTAGTGCACGCAGCGAGCGAAGGGAATGTGCCTTGCTTAGAGGAGCTTCTGAATGTGGGCGTTGACCCAAATATCGTCGACGAGAAAGACTTGCCTGCAATGTACTATGCGGCATGGGAAGGTCATCTGGAATGCATACAGAAGCTCACACCGTATCAAAGGGGCAAAGCAGAAAGTCCCCTGATGATGCAAACGACCGGTCCTCTTCTTGCCCCTATGGGGAGTGGAAATAGTCCTATCCCTATGTCGCTCGATGCAGATGCTATTCCTATCCTTGAACTTCCGCCACCTATAATACCTCTGAGACGCTACGGTCATAACTTCCTCGACACGAAGGCTGTGATCCAAATCAGCTTCCAGGTAGAAGGAGACCACCCATTAGTGTTCTTCCACGACAGCAAATACCCAGCCGCGCGACTAACCATCTCTTCCAAAGCGTCGGACCTCATTCCTAAGAATATCATATTACCTTTTCAAGAAGACACTCGACTCGTATCTTTCCAGGTCGACAATCTTGACACTTTCACCCTTGATTTTGACGTTTTCCCTACCTACGGCGCGAAAATAATTGCAAAGACGGTTGCTCTCCCAAATACGTTTCGATCTTCCTGGAGCAGCTCGGGGAAATGCTGCCTCCCGTTGTTTGACCCCAGACTCCGGGCTATTGGCCAGATCATATTCAATACCCAAGTAATCAAGCCCTTCCAAGGCACTCCGTTGGAGATAACAGATTTCGAGACTTATTGGAAGGCTACGAGTCAACTGGACCAGAACCCAACCATGTTTGTCACCGGTTCGAGCTTGTCTGGCGACTTTGTTCAGTTATATGTTCAACATACCAGCGATGGCATCCCTGTTGTATGGCCGCGGTGGATGATACAATGCGGTGGAATTGACGTATCAATCTCGCGACTATCATACGAGCAATTCTCTACGGTTACGGCCTCGAATTTTGGTCGAACTCAACTTCATCTGATACCCTCGCACGGCCTTAACAACATTGCCGAGGTTCATCGAGCTCTCAACACGGCAGGAGTTTCCTTGGAGCAAGCCCTCTCCCTGCTCCCTAATTCGATGCATGTCGATCTGCAGATTATCTACCCGTCAGAAGAAGAGGAGAGAAGGCTCGGATTAGGGCCGACCGTGAACGTAAACAGCTTTGTAGATTCCATACTAACCATAGTATTTGATCACGCGAGGGAGCAACGAGCGCAGACGATGTCGGCTCCTGACACTGTTAGGTCGGTGGTGTTCAGCTCTTATAACCCGACGATCTGTACAACATTGAACTGGAAGCAACCCAACTTCCCCGTTTTCCTATGCAACGACCTCGGCCGGGAAGATGTTATGCCTTCGCCGAGCATGATCCAGAGTAGCGGACGAAGGACGTTTTCAGTTAAGGAGACAGTGAGGATAGCGCAGGGTAACAACTTTATGGGGCTCGTTTGCTGCTCCCGACTACTGGTGAGTTGTCTTAAAGCGAAAGCTAGCTGTGCATGTGGTATACTAATATGGAATCCGAACTAGAACATGGTCCCCGCGCTCGTCGACGCGATAAAGTCGCATGGATTAGCGTTGGTCGTAGACAAATCAGCCGAGGAGGCTACAGAGCCATACACGCATGCGGATGCATTCCCTGTTCCCAAGGGCGTCGATGGTATACTGAAGGGTAATGGCGTCTTGAGATTTAACGAGTCTATAGGTGTATAGACAAAAACTGCGATTTGGAGTACTTGTTGGTTTTTATAAGGATGGGCTGCAGAGCTTGGCTTATGCCAAAACTAGGTCCTTAGCACTGGCTTTGATAACTTGCGCGAGAATAAAAAAAATATTTGCCTTATAACTTCGCTTTTGTGATCTACTACAGTGATGCATTAATATGTAGATATTGCGGCAACGCCTTATAGTATTCACGTATTAAGCCCCCTTATACTCGTACCGCAGCGCGCTTAGATCTCTCTCCGGGTCCACGCCGCCCATGACTATTTTGGCGATTATCACGACCCCGTACACGACGGCGGGTAAGTTGCTCAGTCCAACGTGACCCCATTGCTGCTGTCCCTCCGCAGAAGCACCTGGTTTCGATACGAGCCCGGCGAGTACCAGTACCGCGCAAAGAGCTACGTTCAGATACGGTAGATACGCCGCCAGCGGCGAGTTGCGACGCTCTTCCGCCCAGAAAGGCGCGTTGATGGCGTTGGATCGCTCGGGGATATTGTCCAACTGCTTCCTCCTCGTGCCCTTGGAACCACCCTCACTCTCACTTTCCTTCCCGCTAGTATTGCTAATCCACCCGTCAACCCCGCGTATCCCCGTGACCCCCGGCGGCAGCGCCCATAACATCCACGCTGTGGCGGCGAGACTGGTTAGGCTGAGGAGGGCGCGTATGCGGTCGCTCCCGCTGCCTCCGTTTCCGTTTCCACTTCCGTTCCCGTTGTCGTTGCCGTTTCCGTTACTGTATGCTTGGGTCAGGGCGACGAGATACGGTACTGCGGATACGAGGGGTAGGGCGAGTAGGAGTAGACGGAATTGCGCGTTGCGGGCGTCGTTTTGGTGGGCGAGGGATTGGATTAGGGCTTCTTGTTCTTGCTCGTCGAGGGCGGTGGGGGAGGAGTCGGAGTCGGAGTCTGTGGAGGAGGAGGCGTGGGTGAAGGGGCGGCGGGTGCGGAGGGATTGCATGGCTGGATTTGGGTGTTGGGTGTTTGGTGGTGAGGTTTCTTTGGTGATGGGTTAAGAGGTTGATTGTGGTAGTTTATATTTCAATATTCATCTCGAGGTTGTTATTGATGTGTGCTTGAGATCAGGCGGATGTTTAATGTTTAAGCTAAGCTATGGCATACCTAATGAAAGTATGCAGCCGTGAGGCTTGTGATAGCGCAAAGGTTAGGATGAGTTGGGAACCTTAAGCTTAGAAGTGACGTAAGGCGGTAAGGTTAAGCCGCAACTGGCCAGCTATTAGCCACTCTACTGCTTACCTAATCTAATAGGTACCCCGTGCTTATGGCTGGTGCGCTCAATTGTGGCTTGCGCTAATGCCCCCTGAAAGTGATGGAGGTCTATAGGTACTGTATGTACATTTGTATATTTTAAATACCTTAAGAGCGTCTATTATGATGGATATCATCGTATAAGCTTAAAACTTCTAACCTGAATCCTAGGCACTATAAATACTAAGATGTCAGATTCAAGTGCAAGCATCCAACGTACTTAACTTAAGCAGTAGACTTGAGTAGTAGAAAAAGGGGAGCAGGGGGTCGTCGTCGTTTGGCATGAGACTTGAGATCAAAGTCCTCTCAATACTGGTACAGAGTTGTCATTTATTCTAATACAATATCATACACACAAAAATATCTACGTCGTCGGGAACGACTTGAAGTTCCCATTATTATCGTATTTCGCCTCTGCAAATAAAACATATTAGCCAAACACCACCATTACAAGATCATATCATAAAAAAAAAAGAAGAAAGTAAAAGTAAAATAACCTACTGAAAAACGTATAACTCAGCGTAACCTCGTTAATCCCGCGCATGTTCAAATCATTCAGCATATCCGGATCCAGATAGAAAAACACCGGCATGTCAACCGTCTCCCCCGCATTCAACCGCTGCTCCTCGAAGCAGAAGCACTGGATCTTACTAAAGTACGGCGCCACCTGCGCGGGCGTGACGCTGTACGTCGCCACGCCGATGATGTCGCTGTCGCTGCGGTTCGTCGCCGTGTAGAACGCCAGCGCCGTTTCTCCGGGTAGCACGCGCACCTCCCGCTGCTGGGGCACGAATTTCCACGGTAGGACGTCGGATACCGAGGCGTTGAACGTGACTCGGATGCGCCGCGCGTCCGTTACGGGGATAAGTCGCGATGCCGGGTCGAAGTCTGCGTCGTCGCTCGAGGGGCCGTGGCCAGGCGCGCGGATGGGCTGGCCGCCCCAGCCGGTTGTCTGGCAGATCTGTTTCGGCGAGTTAGTCGCCTCGTACACTTCCATCACACACCACACCACGCCACGCCACGCCACACCACGTAAGAGAAGCAAAGTATCTCAACCCACCATCTTATACATCGGCACGGAGCCATACGAAAACGCAACGGTGCCGAGTATGATGCTAAGCGTATAATACCTATAACACCACTAAGCCTCGTCTTCCCTCTCGCATCCACCTGCCCGCAAGAGCAATTGGGATTAGGTAAAGGTAGGTATATACATAGTCGTGCGATTCTTATATCTGTAGTACTCGCGCACGCGTTCCATCGACGGCATCCCGGCGCCGGGGGCAGCAGGAGTAGTCTGCTGTTTCCTCGCCGAGGAATTCGCTACGTTCCGGCGGGGAGATGGTCGGATAAGAGCGCGGCGGCACGATGCGCATGCCCATTGCGAAGCTGACGATGTGCTAGCTCGGAGCGCCCGCCATGAGGTCTGGGAGAGGGTGTTCATTCTGGCGGATGGAAGAGTTGGCAAGCAAAGCTCTTCGAGAAATCATATTATCGTATCATGTTGTGGGGTCGACAGGTCGACGTCAAAAAGCTATGATGCTAGGAATTTTAGGTGGGTCTGGTAAGCTTTACAGGGCCTCATTAGTGGCTTACCCACTGTAGTGTAACTTCGCGGTGCCAGGGTGCGGTGCGGGTACTTCGTACTTCTAAAGGAAAACATGTGATCCGTCTAAGTCAACTCAGGTACTAACCTAGGTTAAAGTAAGGGCATGCATGCTCATGCAAGAGGGACAATTTGGCTCATATAAGGTAATGACTTACACATGGTTATAAAGCTTTATAATTGTAGTTAATTTACAATACCCATCTTGTTCAGAAATCTACCTAATCTATACCAGTTTCCTATTTACCAATCTAATTATAGGTGTCTTTGCCGTTCCATTTCCTATACCGTTTCCTCGTATTGATACCTTCTTCCTAGTCCTGCAGAATATCCTCTCCAACAAATTTATAATAAATACCTGAATCAACAGGATTATAACTCTCACAAACAAGTCTAATATACCCAACCTAGGTTGCTTTCCACGACTGTAGGTCGAGTCTACAAACTGGAAAGGCAATCTGGCCCCGAGATGAGCTTGGGCTACGTACAGTCCGCTGCTGAATCCGTCTTCGTGAAACCCGTACTTAGTCCATGCACCGGCGTAGCTGATCCCTCTCGTATTCTGTATTATCGGTAAGGCTTGCTGCGCTCGGATCGCTGCAGGGTTATACAGCGGGTGTGAGTATGAATATCGGCCTTGTACAGTCTCAGGCTTCGGTTCCTGGATGGGATTTAACGTCACCAGGACATCGCCAAAAGGTTGCCTCGGAATATGTTGTAGTATATTCATGTTATAAGTCAACGACACTTGATCAATGTCCTTATTCGTCCAAGGTGATGACATGGCGAGATAATTCCAAGCGGACCAGGAATTCTGGCGCCTCGGCATGTGCGAAAGATCCGAGTGGAGAACGCAGGTATTCTCCGAGGTTTCAAACGAGGACATGATGGCCCGCTCCTTTGCAGTTGCCGAAGGCTTAATGATCTGGTATGCCTGGGGCCCATGTGTCGCTAATATGACGTGATCGTATACTTCCGTCTTGCCATTCTCTAAATGTAGCTTCACACGTCCATCTTTGTCGTTGCTAAGATGTTTGACTGTAGTTTTGAGAAATAGATGATTTGGTGGGAACCCTCTCATCACAGCATTAACATACGATTTAGCGCCGTTCTCTAGTGTAAGCCAGTCTGGCCTCCTTGCAAATGTAGTTAGGAGATGATGATTCCACCTTGACCAAAATTAGTCTTATACTCGAGTCACTTTTATTCATCCAACTTACATAAAACGTACGAGCGTTACAGCCGGAAACTCCAAGGTGCACTTGTCCGGACTCGTACTCCATACGGCGGCCGTTATAGGGATTAGGTAGTCATTGCGAAAAGCTTCAGAGTACCCTTCTCTATCCAAATACTGTCCAATAGTCTCCACAGGCGCAGCCGAGGTTTCGGTATTTAGATAGACATCATTATCGTCATCCTTCAACAAATCGAGTGCAAATTTATTGAAACGGATGATATCGAAAATGAGCCTCCACATCCGTAGGGAGAAAAGGTTCTTCCTCTGACAGAATATGGAATCTAAACTCGTCCCTGCCCACTCAAATTTCCCACGATCCCTTGAAACGCCAAAGGTCATCTGAGTGGGCACGGTCTTGACCTTGACATAGTTGAGGAAGTTGATGAAGTTTGCTGTGAATGATTAGCATATCTGCCTATTCGGGGATTCGTTGTTTACTAACGGTATGTTGCTTCGTTGAGGACGATGAAACCTGTGTCGACCAAGGTGGTGAATTTTCCCTTCTTCCATTCTACCGTATTGGTATGGCCGCCCAGGCGATCAGCCGCCTCGTAGAGATAGACATCGTGGTGCGTACGATTCAAAGCCCACAGAGCACCAATACCGGCAGAGCCGCTGCCAACGATGGCGACCTTCTTCCTGGGCACCCAGTTAGCCGGCGATGTCATCGATTTCTATACAATAAAAGAGTACTAAAGCCGAAGGGGCTGTAATAGTTTAGGCACCAAAAGATTCATAGAAGGATGGATATATGAAAGAAGATTCAAAGTAGAAGCATGTGATAGAGCATTAGGAAATATGGACTCCGAGGAACAGAAGGAAGCTAACTATGCAGGTAGACGCCGTAGGCAGCCATACAGAGTGGTCCAAGTTTCGATAATCATACCAGATCGGCAGAGTCGTGGCTGGAAAACAAGAAAACGCGATTGGAATGATTGGAATGGAAGTTTTGAGAGGAAGTAATGCATGTACGAATAGAATTAATATAGAAGCGGGAACTTGTAATTGTACATTAGAATGTACTTTCCACATGCAACTTACATTCCCATATTGTCAAGAGCGAATAGAGCAAGTAAGGCGCGCTAGGACTATTCGGGAGTTATAAATGTTATAAATGATTTAGTCGACCGTTGTTGCCGAGATGAACGGACGAGAAAATAGGAGAAGCCCCAATTCTTATTTTATTTCTTATCTTATTTCATCTTACATCACGAAGTTGCTGCTTGAAACCGTTTAGAGGTTGATAGACAAGGGTTTCACCACAGCCATATGTATTTCTGAGACAACTGCGACGCATTGACTCAGGTGCGACCTGCACAAATATGTATTCCGTACAATGCCGGACAATTTGTTTAGTACCCAAGACATGGCATCATTGAAATAACCGATCTAATGCAGTATCGAGGCAAGGTCACAGAATACCTTATTGGTAACACTCGCATCAATAATAGACAAGTCATCAGATATATCACCGAGATTCATAGATTATTCAAACATCAGCTTTGCAGTCCAAACCAGACCCGACGCCTCAGTATGTATATAAAACCGTAACGTAGGCAAGACGGACAAATACAATACATGCAATCCGATCAAAAAATGTCGAGGCTCAACGGGATCGAGTACTCAGAGGCGGCAGTCCGAAGACAATCCGTCTAATGCCCAATTCTTAGAAGCTCCATGTTTTAGTCTGCCCGGCTAATACAACTCCACGTCCGTCGTAAAATAGGACGCAGAGCCTAATTGCATTTCTGCTTTCCGGGGGTTCAACTTTCATGGAGAAAAAAAGAAAAGGAAAAGAGGAAAAGCAACGGATACCAAAAAATGATTAAAATATTTTCTTCCAAGACGGTGAATCTCCACTTCTTGTGGCTAGATCGAGATGGCCGAGTATGTGGCTGAGTAACCTATGCAAATGAAACCCACTTAGGTTGGGTCCACTTGGTCTGGACCGCATTGACGGATCTGGGAAGTTGTAAGAAGCCGTTCCTGGGTTACGCAACCGACCCAGTCTCTCCTGCAACCTTCATATGTAATCTACGGATTACTAGGTTAGTCAGTTATTCCATATCTA